GTCTTAGGTCCGGTTTCACCAACGTCGCCTAAGTTTAAGCTTAGCTTACTTCATTCTTTGTCTCTTGCCAAATGTTACTCCAGAAAGAGACAAACGTGAACTAAACTAAGACTAAAGTTAAGCAACGTTCGGTGAAACCGGGTCTTAAGCGTTTACGGATCGTTCTCCGCCATCAGCCTAATTATCGCGCTGCGTCGCGGTTGCGAGAGAAATTTGGAAATTTCTCGCGTCACGCGCGGAATGATTGGGCGGAACATCCTGATTGCCGGGGGAGGACGATGCGACTGGACGGTGGAAACGAGGCGCGCAACGAGAGGGTAGCGACGGAATGAGAGAAACGGGGGCTCTCCTAGCTACTTGCTCATTGAAATAATATTCTAAATAACGTTCGCGTAAGAGAACGAAAGTCTAGATGCGCATCACTATAACGCAGACTAATTCTACGTACAAATAAGTGAGGCGGCGTGCGCGCGCCGACAGATAGCGCACGCCTCCAGTTGTTCGTAATTTTAACAGAGAAGAGGCTATTTAGTTTCTAACGAGAGATGTTGAAGGGTGACAGAGGTTGATTTCCACATGTCGCGGCGAGATGCGAGCCAGGCGAAAACTCCGCGGCGATCGGCGAGACTCGCACGCTTACGAAATGTATACCGCGAGATCCTCGCCCGGGATAATGCGTCGTCTACGATGCGCGAAGTAAGCCTGGAGTAGGAGCAGGAGTAAGAAAATAAGTCAATATCATTTCTTACTCCCACTTGACCTCTCGCGCTTACTCTCACAAGTGGATCAGAACACCATATCGGCCAGTTTTGTAAATAATTAAAAAATTACATCTGTATTTTAGCTTCCTCGCACCAAGAGCTGAAGGTTTGTGCGTCGTCTACAATGCATATGGAGTACGCCTGGAGTAAGGAGTGCAGGAGTGAGGAAATAAATCGATTTTATTTCGTACTCCTACTTCAACGCTTACGCTTACTCTCGGCGAGTCAGACCGCCGTCGGCCAGTGTTACAAATATTTTTTAATTATGCCTGTATGTTGGCTTCTTTACACCAAAGGCTATAAACGTAAAGGCTGGTCTACAATACGTGGAGTAAGGAGTAGGAGTAAGGAAATAAATCCATTTTCTTTCTTACTCCTACTTCAGCTCTTACACTGAGAAAACAGTCTCTGAAAATTTATTTGTGGCACATAACGTTTATTTCACTGAAATAAACATTATATGCCTCAAATAATGTTTATTTCAGTGAAATAAACATTATTATGTTAAACATAATATGTTTATTTTAGTGAAATATGTTTATTTTAGTGAAATAAACATTATAAGCCACAAATAAATTTTCAAAGACTTTTCTCTCAGTGTAGGCTTACTCTCGGTGAATCAAAATGCCATCAATCAGCGTTACAAATTTTAAAAATTATACCCGCGTTTCAGCTTTCTTACACTACTCCTTACTCCACGTATTGTAGACCAGCGCTTACGGTTCTCTCTTACTCCTTACTCCAGGCTCACTCCGCGTGTTGTAGACGACGCTTTATGGCGCTCTCTTAGGGCCTGAGCAGGACCGGCTGTCTTGTACTCTTAAGTCGCAAGACAGTTATCGTGCGTTACTTTAAGGCAAAGATTTAAAACACAAAACATTGTCTTAAGAGCGCAAGACGGCCATTCCCCGCTCAGGCGCCCTTACTCCTCACGCCAGGCCTTACTCCACGCATTAGCTGCGTTCGGCATCGCAAATCCGAGGCGTCGGAGGGCTTCCTTGCATTAGTGCGAGCGAGAAAGGTGACCGAGACGGAGAGAGAGGGGGGGAAAAAGCATTCCGACGTGCCTCAGATGTGTAATGTCGAACGCAGCCATTGTAGACGACGCATAAAGCTGGGTGTACATCTACGAACACCGAGCAATGGACGCGAACGTTCAAAGATTCGCGTTCGCGTTCCGAGGGCGTTCGTTCCTCATTTTACCTTCATTTACCTGTATGTAACAACCTCCCCACGGGGGAGTCGAGCCGAACGCGAATCGTACGCTCCGCTCGCGTTCGCTGTTCGTCCGGCGGCGCACGCTTCGTAGATCTGCATCCAGCTTGAGGATCGACGCGTGCGCGCGCGCGCGCGAGATTGTCGCGCGAGACCAAAACGCCCGCGCGGGATCCTCGCCAGGCGCGCGACACGATACTATTATGTAAAGTTTTTATTGCGTGAGTAAAGTATTGTGTTGTCGACCAGAAAACATGCACATATGCGTACCTTGCAAAACAACGATGTCTCGTCCTTCTCTTTGGCAGGGGGAGGGGGAGGGGGGGTAACTCGGGAGCATCTCGCGGGCTCGTCCTTCACGTCCCTCCCGGAAAGTCGAATCACAGTCACTCGCGGGTCTCGCGGGAGAGTCGGAATCGCGCGAGAACCCCGTTCGCAGCGGACCGGAAACGCGACTCGCGATCGAAAGCAAAGTCGAGTCCTCTTTCGCCGAAGAAAGTTCTGTCGCCATGTTGGAAGTTTCGCGGATGGGCGGGAGGGGGGGAAGACGCGTCGCGGTACTAGCGAATTCTTCGCGATCTCGCTGCCGTCCTCGGCTGTCGATCTCCCGACGGGATCGAGATCGGTGGCGAATCGGTCGCGATCGCGTCGTCCGATTCTCGGCAGATCGCACGTTTCACGGCTTTCCGTTCGGACGAACGGGGTTCGATCTCGACGCGCGCTCGAGGACTGAGCGTTCGTCGGGGTTCTCGCCAGTTGGCCACAGATGGCGCCGCCGATCAGGTAAGTCTGTAATCTAGTACTTTACCTAGCGAGATAATAACGGCGTCGCTGCATTACCGGCGATGGATACGAACGACGTTCGATCGTCAGTTAAATTCCCCTTGTCGGTTCGGTTTATCGGTTTGGCCAGAGAGAAACCTGAGAGCGGCGTTTTGCCTGTTACCGTTTTCGCTCGAATGATTCCAACGCTTTACGCCCATTTTCATTTTTGAAACTATTCCGCTATAATACACCCATTTTCAAGTACTGCCGATAAAGTCTCCACTTGGTGCATGTCCGTGCTACGCCCATTTTTCAAGCGGGTAATGCAGTACCCAATTTTGGTTGTATTCCGTGCTGCTCGACTGGAATCAGTCGAGCGAAAACGGCAACAGGCAAAACGCCGGGATGGCCGCTCTCAGGTTTGGCTTGAAATTGGAACCCGGTTGCGAAATTGGAGTCACGGCCGGCGGGATTTGCAACTCGCCGATAAAAATACGCGAAGGCGATCCGGGTGAGTCTGTCTCCTTAATTCTTATCGAGAGATCCGTTTCTCCGGCCGAAGTAAAACGTATAAGGCTGGTATTACATTTATCGTACGGCGAACTCTTTAAGCGCGTCGACTGACTGCAGGATAATAGAAATTTTCTGTTCAGCAGCCAATCAGCACGCTCGACAAATGTAATGTTAGCCTGAGCTGGTATTTTAAGGCTGGTCTACAATACATGGAGTAAGCTGGAGTAAGGAGTAGGAGTAAGGAAATAAATCCATTTTATTTCTTACTCCTACTTCAGCTCTTAGGCTTACTCTCGGTGAATCAAAATGCCATCAATCAGTGTTACAATTATTTTAACAATCATGCCCGTATTTCAGCTTCCTTACACCAAAAGCTAGAAGTTAGGGCTCTCCCTTACTCCTTACTCCACGCTTACTCCACGTATTGTAGACCACGCATTACATTTGTCGTACGACACATTTTTTAAGCACGTTAGATGGCTGCAGGATAGAAAATTTCTGGACACTCGAGAACTTTACTATCCCAGTCAACCTGCTTGAAAAATTTGTTGTATGACAAAATTGGGTAAAAGCTGGAAAATTTCTAGATACTCGAGAACTTGCCTGTCCTGCAGCCAATCGACACGCTTGAAAAATTTCGTCGTACGACAAATGTATCATAATATCAGCTTAAATGGAAAGAAATAACGAAATGCTCGAGTCTTCGGCTAAAATCGACGGACGGTCCGTTCCTCGCGTGAGTATTCAGGATTCTACTTATAATTCGGCGCGCTATTTAATAGAAAAAATATATCAATTGATAGCAGTTTGGTGGACGCCAGTCAAGAAATAAGAATTTAAATAAGTGTGGAAACGACCTTCTTCTGTTCTCTAACGTCTTGACGCGAAGACACATTGTACAAAGAAACGTGTGGCTTCAATTTAACAATTTTTTACATCTCCATCTCGACGAATCTTACACTTGTAGGCACTCTTGTAAGTTCGTTACCTGAAGAGGACCAGTATTACTGGCCGAAACGTCGTATTTTATTATAATAAAAAGTATATATTTGGAAGATTAGGCGGACAAACGTAGGAAAACATTTTGGATTAACACTTCCATGATCATCGGGAGAAATAAGAGTCCCACTTACATATTTTTGTCTTTCTGGTTTCTCCGGACGCTGCTATCCCACTTGTAGCACGTGCTACCGTCTGTCGGGGACACATATAACTGTTTAAAACCGAAGAAACGTTCGTCGGCGCCAGATCGTTACTACAAAAAAGTATCTGTAACTTTATTACAAGTAAAATCGAATAAAATTATAAATAACACTCTGTTTTGAAACTCACGATCATCTAAAATGAATTGATTGAATCGGGATCGGAGCCAGATCGCTGGCCATGCCGGAACAATCTGTAGCATGTGCGAAATTAACGCAGCTACGAGGGAATAAGGTCTACGATCTAAACATGAACTTGGAATCTAACTAATCGTAGAAACAAAAAAACTTAAGGAGTTATGTAAGATTTAATCAACGTCCATTTCTGCCAATAGATTAACTTTGATCTCAATCGAACCTTTTCTAGTTCTAAGAATTAGAAAAGAAAGAAACGGCGAGTTAAACCGGGATTAAAGCGAATCTGCATCGGTGGAAATGGAGAGTCTCTTACAGAGAAAAGCACCTCTATCTACCATCGTCTACGTAACTACAGCGTTGATGACATCAACGTTTCGCAGCAGATGTCAAGAAAGAGGGGGAGAAAGAGAGAGAAACGCACTTTTATTACAACATTATAAAATTTACACTTACACAGTCCGCGGTAACGTGTGTCCACTAAATCAGAATGCCGTCTCGACGTGGCTGCGGCGCTACGTCGACCCTTGACGAAAAAGTACACCAATGCGAGATACATTCAGTACAAAATAAATACATCTATATAGTCCATTTTTGTTTGTAGTACAGTTTGCGATTCGATTAACGATTTCTGCTACGGCCAGAGGGACAGGTTTATTAACGCTCGCAGATTGCTCTACGTTATATTTCGATCTACAGACTAGCCTCATGCTACGCTACCAGTTAAACACAACACATCGACCTGACTTCTACTTTGCTACTCCTCGTGTTAATCGAGTCGGTACAGCTGGTTATCAATTGGTTAGAGTGGTTAGACAAACGCCGTTACGTTCGCAAGTCTTGTTACGAGACAGTATGGACACCTATCACGACACGACACCGATAAATGGGCGCTTGGTGGCCCGTGTTTTTTTCTCTATTTTTTTTTCTTACGTTACAACGGATTAATATTGCGACCCTTGCGCGTGTAAACGCGGCCCGGATGTGTACAGAGACGTCCCTTCCTCTGTAACTCGTACGCGCCTCGACGTTCCATGTCGAGCTCGTCTCGACCGTCTCGACGGCTACGCTCGTTGAAAAAAAAAAAATGTACAATCTACGTAGGTCCGTAACTAATGTTATTGTGAGTTCGTGGTCCTCAGAGTTTCGAAATACAGTGCTTCTCGATGACTTTGTATAACGTTTATTAACAGCGTGTCTTCAGTTTCGTGCATCGCAGGGCATACCCGACGGTACGCCCGTAAATAATGCTGCAATTTGCCTCGCGCGGGTAATCCGCGCGATCACATCGCCGTTCGCGAACGTATGTAGAAACCGATTACAATTGCCTCGACATAGGCAACGAAGCGGCGAACAAAGATAGGGAGCCACACGGCGAGTCGCGTGTTCCGCAGAAAGTTCGTACCGACGATATCGTGGAAGAACGTCAGGATTGATGAAATACATTGAAACAAGCCGCAGGATCCGATTGTACAATTTAGAAAGTAAATCGGTCGACGGGTGTCGCCCGAATATAAATAATTTTTATAACTTTTACAACTAAAAGTACAGACAGATTTCTCTCTCTCGCTCTCTCTCGAAGCGCGGTAGAAACAATGTCTTAATACGGCAAAGAGAAAAAATGGTATTGTCTAATAATATCCCTTGTCCCTGGTCGTCCAACGGTGCATCTATCAAGCTATCGTATATTAATGCAGCCGCTGAAGCTTATTTCGGTCCATTTGAATTACTCTGTGAGTGATGCCCCGCACGTTAGAACCTGGTGCTGTCGAAACACGTATACCCACCGCGATCAAATCCCCAAGGGGTATAATCATAGCGAGTGCGTGTTCCGACGATAACTGGTTCTAACGAATTCGCACGAAAACGTCAGTATTAATGAAATGCGTCCCGATGATTACAGTACAGCTCCTAATCACACGGCGCGCTCGCCATAATCGCCTCCACTTACTGCGATATATATGATTATTTCCGACGCTCGGTACAAATTTGTTAGAATGAGGCACCGTCGGGAACACGCATCCCACCATGACGAGAATTCGCCCCGACGAGCTTGTACGAAACCCGTCAGAATTAATCGCATCCTCCGGGGTGAGGAGGTTTGAGACAGTCGGAAGAATTGCAAAACGACACAACGTACCCCGCGCGACGACTCTCGCGACTGTCTACACGCGATTTACGTGCCAGGAGAGCGCACCGGGGATGCGCTCCGTCTCCCTATTATTTAAGACATCTATCTCCGCCGGTCATCTAACACGATCTACCACGTCTACCGCTACGGTCTAACGCACTAGCCAGATACGCAAATGAGGGCGAACGGGCACGAACGAGTTTAACCTGCTTTCAATTCGACGAGTCAAGGACATAAAAAGCGTGTGCGCCTTAAATGCTGCCGCGCGCGGCCTTCCCGCAGCGCGGTATTCCGCGCCGTAATTAGCGGCATTCTGTCAATTCTGCCCTTATTATACGACAACGGAAAGAGAGCAGATTGACAAGCGTATCTCGCAATTACTCGAGGTATATTAAAACTCATTCTATTTACCGCAAACAATGTTTTTCGATAATTAAAAAAAATACAGGTCGCTAGTGTACTACGAGTACCTGTAGAACGTCGCTCGCCGTTAGCCGAGGACTCATTCGTTACACAGAGAATGAAATCACAGTTATGCGCGAGTAACTATATCGATCGCAAACTAATCGCGCTCTCTCAGTCGCAGATAAGTAATTTATTGTTCTCAACGGAAACAATCGTCCACTTTCGTGATAAAACGAGCTCCTCTGGATACTAATTGTGCGCCGTTATACGCTTTACAATGAATCGCCACTCGAAAAGAATTCTACGTTCATTGTCGTACGATTGATATATTCAATCATTATTTTACAACAACGTTAATTATACAATCGTAACTAAGAATACGCTGTATCTCCTTCTTTTTTTTGTCATAGAAAAATCTACCTCATGGACGGACACTGCACAAGCTACGGTATTTATTCGCGTCAAAGACGTGACGCGAAAATATACGGCACGAAATGCACGGAAAAGAAATCTCCGTCTCGCTCAAGGTGTAAATAAATTTGCCTTTGATTGGGAAACTTTCCAAGATAACTATAGTAATCGCGCGAGACTGTATGTCGAGAAAGCATGCAGTGCCTGTCGATCTTTCCATCCATCCACAACGTACTCGACGTTCATCGCCGATATTCTCTCATATGCATATCAATAGACACGTTCGCAAACGCATAGCTACACACACGCACACACACACACATCTCACATACGCGCCGTATAACACGTACACTCGGAAATACAATACACCACAGTATAGATAGGACATTTATTTAACTTAGATGCTTGCTTGCAAGTTAACGCTAAGGCAAGTACGCGAAACAGACAAAGCCAAGTCATTTAACTACGAATTCTCGCTATCTCCCGAACTTGCAAATTCGTTTACGGGAATTGCGCCGATGGGAATTCTCTATCGAACGCATAAGTTTCGCGACCACGTGGTAATACGCGAATCACCGCGGATGCGCTTCTAATTCCGAAACGTCTCGGGAATGAACGAAGCGGACGATACAAAAGTAGTCGGGGGGAAAGGTAGTCACGAGAAGCTAAATTCCTGGTCCCATTTCTCAAGCACTATCGCCAGCGGCACTTGCTACGCCTGCCCGCGTTTCCGAAAACCCGGTTTTCGGCGACGGGAACTTTTGATAAAATCTCTCCCGCGTGCCGAATATTTCTCCTCTCGCATATTTGATCAACGCGCGGCCACTCGCCGGATGTTTTATCAAAGTTCTCGCCGTGAAAGACGCTTAAATTTCAATTTCAAATTTTGCACACAACGTCCGCGAGGATCGGTAGTCAAACTTGGTACACTTTGTAAGGCGATTATCATCGCTTAGAATATCAAACTGTTTTCATCGTATTTGACAAGACGTTGCTTTCTACGTTTAATGTCGTCTACGAGGATACACCGCCGGAGTATGATCCGGGATAATCGAGACTGGTTGACCTAAACCGGTTAAGATGTGCAAAATTTGACGATATAATGTACGCGCTCGTACCATACTACCCGAACAATCATACCTAAAAGTGTGATCACAGATTGACAGAAGGCGTGTAAAATACGACATCATAGACACAGTCAAGAGAGATACGCCGCTGCAGTAATTATCAATTAAATGTACAATCATAAGACGAGTTATATACAGTTGAATAAACGTGCAAGCTTACTCGTAAATATAAACTCTCTCGAAACGCAAGCGGCGGAACCAGAGCAGAATTATATGCGAGGAAAGACGAGATATTTGATTTTGTCGGCATAAAGTTCATCTCTTAACTCATTAAAATTTCGTCCGAGCCCTCGTCATTTTTCCCCTTTTGCAAAATATTATGTTAACACTCGCTGTGTACCTACGCATAATTACACTTCTCATAAAAATTATATTCCTGGATCCGCCAATGCAAAATACCTATCCAGTCGCAAAAATAATATCTACTACACATTATTACACTTTTGATTTGAAAGTCTGTACGATGTGTTGATATAAAAAATATTTTTGCCCACTGCGACGCTACTACATACTTCGATCGGCAAAGTTTTTAACTGGATTTCCGTATATATGTCGAAATTAAAAAATAATATTGTCCGCATTGAGAATAAATACATAAATCAATTTTCCATATTTGCGCGTACGCACGTCACCGGATTAAATATACAAAACTGTATTAATACACTAAAATTTTACGTTCCTATTTAGAAATTCGATATTTTTATTCTCTTCCGCCTCTCTTTATTATCTTTTAAAACAACCACGGTGGAACCATATATAAAAATTATTACTTTATTATAAAAATTATTTTTTTACTACCAAACACTGACAAACACGTCGACGTGAATTTTCTCTCGTCGCCTTACGATTAATGAAATCATTAGCATTGATATTGTAACTTCAAAAATTGATATCGCCCCGTGTATAAAAATCTGTTGTTTCAATCAGACACCCTCGGGTAAAAGAACGTCGTTGACTAATAGGTATATTCTATGTATTTTAAGTGTATAATAAGAACCCGTTCGAGTCTTTTGAAGAGGTGATCGATAAAACTGATTATTATTGCAACGAAAAAAGTTGACTGGTACAGAAGGAGTAAGTCACCGGATATGACTATAACAGTCGCAATGGCGAAATATCCTTTCTCGAAGAAATATCGTTGAACCTAAAGTCCACGCGAAGTCCATAAATTTCGAAATAACATTGTTCCGTGTCACGCGAGGCACCTTCGTCTATTTTTATACCTCCTTCTTCGATATGCGAATAAAAAGATTTGACGCTTATACTCGTAATGCGATCATCGTTATTGTTTGTCAGTCACAAATATATGGCCCCATTACATGTCTAGGTCGAAGCATCGATCATGTAACGGCGCGTTATCAATTCAATACACGTTCAGTATAGTCGCGTGTTAGATTCTCTAGCTACATATACAAGTATCACTTGACTATGCCCTTATATACGCGAAATGAGACCGTCGTTTTACACGTTCGATTACGTTCCGCGATGCAATTACATTACTCTAAACTGCATTTGGAGAAGGTCGCGTAATTAGATACGACATACATGTTTTTCACGCGCGTTGGCGCTGAGTCAGTTCAAATTCGGTTGAATTCAACGATATGGGAATTACAAGTGGAAAGCGATATCAATGCTTTTACGCGTCCACTTTGCACAAATGCGCGCGCGATAACGTCGTACGCATTTTATTGTTAATTATTAAGAGACATATGTACAAACAGAATGGATTTCCAAGTGTAAAGTATGATAGATATGTGCTTGAATACACGATTAGCGATAACCGAAAAGCCGCGTGGAATGTACGAGACATTTAACAAAGGGTTTCGCTATCTGCAAAACGAGATTAAGATGCAATTTTAGCCTTACATATTATCAATAATTTGATACAAAGAAACGTTGTTTCGGTTTCGAGGAATATAAAAAATAACATAATATCGTAGCTCACATTTTACGAAAAGCATAAATAACATTTTTTATATGAAATTCAATTGCGTGTATATTTGATAGAAATCGTTAAAAATCAGCTGTTAACTTACTCATTTGAATAGCAAACGTGAATTAATTTCCCAACAAAATAACACGCGCGTATAAATTATTACTCACTGGCGGTAATTTCGTTTTCTGCTGCAAAATAAAATGGAGCGAATGGTCAGAATATCGAAAGGTGAAATTCAGAATACAAGCTCTGACGATTATTTAGGCACGTCATTCAAGAACGCTGGAACGGATTACGAAAAGAAGCTCTCCCTGGAATGTACCCCCATCGCGAATCTGATACTCGCGATCGCAGCTGCGCGGCGTGTATGGACGGAGCAAGCAGCATTCTCGCGAATAGAGCGAATGCCGGTGTCACTCGCTCGAGCGAGTGTCCTCCAATGAAACGCTGCTAAATAAATCGCGATCCCTGAAAACAGTGTCTGTCCCGAGAAAACGCGACGCAGCAAAGCGAACGCATCGCCGCGCGGCACGTAACGAATTACCCGGCCGGGGTGAAGAATGGCGTCGTTTTCCAGAATAATTGGCACGACAATATTCACCAACCGATTTTACACGAAACACACGGGAGAGGCGATCGAGTCACACGAGAGTGTTTTCGCGTTAATCCAGGGCTCTCTCGTCGTAAATCGCCCGCGTTCTCCGCGTCAATATGTGATGCTAACAATAACTTCTTACGCTCCTCGTTATATATATGTATATATATACGCGGATGCGGCTTAGTTATTTCCACATCGAGATGACAGGGGCAGTAATTAGTGTGTGCTACGTGTTCTTGTTTTCTCAGGGGACATTCAGTACTTCGGCGGATAAGGGCAATTATTCGCAACCGGATATGTTTAGGGGGAAACACACGTAATTAATTATTGAGAATCACGTTTTGCGCGAGAGATATGTAGATTTTAAATTAAATCGAAAAGAGGCAGCGCTATTTTTGATTTTTGAAACAAGCAGCGAGTCGACCTGAGTACAAGACGAGGGGAAGGACGTTAGTTAAGCAGTTTATGCGAGCACGTAGAACGGTGTAGCGCGCATTGGAACGATACTCGTCGGCTAATTCCACCTCTTCAGCGAGGGAGTTTTACACTCCCGTCACATTTATCCCCGCATCTATATCCCTCAATGCTTCGAGTTTATGTATTTTCGCCAATAGAGCAATAGATTACGGTACCTGACTTTGATCCTTATTTGGCCGCCATCAAAGGAACCTCTCCCGCGAGAGACCGCTGCCCGATTTGCATAATAAATGGCCGAGAGAACTTTTACTTGCCCATTTTTCTTTTCTTGTTTTTTTCCCTTTCGAAGAGCGATCCCCGCTAAATCGCCGAACGTCGAGATCGATAGGCGAGCGGAGCGCTAAAAGTTTTAACTGATATTATTGCCATCTTTATCATCGAATCGCCCTTATCTGATCCACTTGACTTCACCTCGTTACCGGAATGTTATTAACTTTGGGGGATGATGAGCGCCGCCAAGTGCCTCCTTAAACGTTACGGCATTTTCATCTACCGGCCGACTTACCGCGGCGGGGCCATAATTCGGGATGTGGTGTTCGCAGCGTTACTCCGCGTGTGTTCGCCGAGCTTAAATCTCACATATAGCGAACTTATATAGTGCACCAGCGTAAATTACTCCCCTCCAGCGGGCGCGTATATAACTTCGCGGCCAGCATCCTCCCTCTCGGAATGCCAGTAAGCTCCGTCGAGAAATTTAATCGAGATTGGGAAAACCTTATTTTCCCTCTCGCCCGCGTTTCACGTCTCGTCTTGCAGCCAGATAAAATGCTGTCGCGAGTAAGACACTCGTCTCTTCCCTTGTTACAAGATGGGATCTCGCGGAGAGAGAAACAAGCTTGCCGCTTCTCTCCCGCCGAGAACGGACGTTCCGCGATAAATAGAAAGTGCGCTATCTAAAAAAAAAAGAGAGGAACGCGACATACGATAGTACCGGGAACCCGCTGCATTTTATAATCAGATATATTCGCGTCGAAAAGTTTCACCCGGGATGAAAGCGTCGCTCCGTTATTACACCGTATAGACAAAGCGATTACTAGAACATTGTCGACATCCCCGCGACTAGAACTTCAGTCCTGAATAATTGGAGAACGTTCGATCCCCGTAAATATATATATATGATGACATCCACAAGCTCTCTCTGACAAAATCCTAATATACAAATCCATAGTCATCGTTTAGAGAACATTTCCACTGGACGGCAACCATTCCGTATTAGCGTCGGAATACATTGGGCCACACATTACTAATTTCAACTGGCTATACTTTACCTAAGTCTAATGAGATGAAGAATTTCTATGCGATTAAACGGACAACATGTCACGTTGTCACGTACATCGTTAGTGCCAATTTCTTAGGTCTTCATCGTGGTTTCTTTTTCACGAAATAATATCGCAGGAGCCGTTGTACATGTCGATAAAAAATAAAAGCACTCTTCTATGAATCGTTAACAAATAATATATCTAGTCGCAAATAAGCAGAGGATAGAGAATGTGTATGCGTAAATGCAGCGCAGTTGCACACTGATAACGTGTGCGTTTTCAATGGTGCCGAAATGAATTCTGCTTGGAAGTCTCGTTCCCCGGCATCCTTGATAAAAACAAAAGAAATTACGCAAAGGACGCGAGTCGTGAGAATCGAGAGAAACGAATTAACTTGTTGTAAGGCCATACCGGGAGGCAGCCCCGATGCGACATCGTTTGTACGTCGATTGCCCGATCTCGCGAAAGCGGACCGCTCATTGCGTAATGAACGTCTGGACAGATGCGGCGAGGACATCTTTATCGAGCTGCTTTGTGCAGCCCGTACGTGCGTCGCATCGCATCGCGTAGCATCGCGTCGCATCTAAAGCTCGTAGACGTCACGTCCGTTCGGTCTGGCCACGGCCGGACGACAGGACGACGGACTCGCGTACGAGTGAATGATGTGCACTCGGAGGCGCACGTCGCTGGAATTTCTACTCTCACCGCCGCGCGGCCTCCTCGAGAAGCTCACCGTGGTTTTGCAGCAGCAGTAGTGAAAAAGCTTGACGTAAGCGCTGCGAAAGTGGCGATCCGCCACGCAGTAGAGCAGATTGTTGAAGCAGGACTTGGACAGGGCGAACCAGGCCAGGTTGTAGAGCACGCGCGTGGCAATCGGAACAAAGGAATTTACGCAGACCGCCAGGCCGAACGGCAACCAGAACACGACGAACATCACGCAGCTGTACATGTTCGTCTTCGTGAGCTCGTAGTCCCAGGAGAAGGCGGCCGGCGGCTTGTACGAGCCCCGCGTGACCCGTCGCACGCGTATCACCAGCTTCACGTAGAAGAAGATGGTCGTCAAAGCTGGCAGCCCAACCAATATGCTTGCCCCTATCACTTGTTCCATCACGATACCGCTGAGAACTTTTTGGCCGCTGTGGGCGGGGCAAAAGTCGGAACCTATGTCCAAGAACGACTGCAAGGCCACCACAGTCACGGCGATAAGCCAGATGACGATGATCGTAGCTGTTACACGACCCGCCGTCAGGTTGGCGTATCTAGGAAATACGAAAAATGTTGCTATAAGCTCGTTAATTACAACTAAACATGTAGGTAGCGTATACTTGTAATTTGTTAAAATGTGCGCGCCGGTTTCTTTTCAGATATAACGCAGCTTTCTTACAGGTGGAGTTCTCAGCGAATTCACATATTCAAATCGATAAACGATTTGTAATCATATTTAAAAATGCTACATTTCAGCATTTCTAGGCTGTGATAATATTATTCGCAACAAATTTCAGTGTAAAATATGGACAGCTGATATTTAGCTGCGATGGCTGCTGTGCCAAACCGTTTGCTGTGGCTTAGAAATGTACAGTTGCGGCGGCAAAATATTTTTGGCAAACCACGATTAGCTGCGGTAGCGAAAATTTGTTTTCCAGTGAACGAGAGACACCTTAACAAGTGAGTTACACCGCCGTTACATCTCTCACGAGCTCTGAGTAATTGTATATAAACCAAAATGATATAAGTGTTTTAAAGTAACGTAGACTGCTAAAGCATCGTTAACTCGGCTGCAACTTAGAATACACCTAGGAATAATTCTCGCAGAGATAACGGGAGATAATACGTTGTCCCGTCGGATGGATATTTCCCCCTTAATTGCATCACGAGCTTGTTTAAGTCCCGGCTTTCTTATACGGCGTATTCAATTAAAGAAAATATTTCCCTCGGTGATACACTGCGACTGCAATTACGGAGTTGGTCGTACTAGTCTGTGGATTAACGAGGGGCTTGAAAAACGAGTCGGTAGTTACGGAGTTAGCGGTGCTGGCGGACGATTTCTCGTTTACAATGCGAGGAAACTTCCCCGAGTCCACGTGTTCGCCGTGATTCTTCTGACGCGACCGGTTAAAATACTTCCCGTAACGCCGTATTGTCGCGAAACTTTCCGCGTGCGTATGAAAAGCAGCAGTTGTCGTCGTCGACGTTGTCGTCGTCGTCGTCGTCGTCGCCGCCGCCGCCGCCGTCGCCGCCGTCGCCGCCGTCGCCGCCGCCTCTCCCCCGAGATCGTCTACTATCGGTTACGAATTCCGGCAATTCAAGCTAAAGAGAACGTCGCCCGGAATGCGAAATTACGAACTCGATCGTGACGCTGATAGAGAACCGTGGAAGCACTTCAACGTCAAACTCCAAGTTCCAAGCAGTGGTCGCCATACGCCATTATACGCGATGGCTTAAACTGATAACAGTAATTTGATTTCTACCCCCATTCACTGTGTTTACATTACCCATATCCACCCAGAACGATGTTAACCATCGCGAGGTATTTTCATGCGACGACCACAAGCGATATATTCAGTCGTGTATTATGACATTATCATTTTCTCTCCGGCTCTCTAATGATGTTATCTGGCCGTATAATAAGGGGCATTAGCCCGAAATATCCGTGCGCTCGCGAAGAAGCGTCGAGGCAATTCGCAATAAATGTTGCAAACGGAGCAGCGATACGGGGGACGGAAGATAGAATTTTAAGGAGCGTTAGTTATCGATCCCTGCCATGCATCGGGCTCTTCATCTTTTTGTGGGTAAACAGGCGCGGTCATAATTTTCTTCCCTTTACTGTCCCCACCGGAACTCTGACCTCCGACCCGAGCGATGACCCGGCTTGCCTGTATTACTGTATTTAGGGTGTTGCCTTAGAAACACTTGCCTAGTGAAGATATCAAAGTCAGATATGGAGGGCGGCTGTATATTTTCTTAAAAACGTACCGCACGAGTCCCGGTGATCGCCGGCGATTTCCTCGCCGGCGAAAAAATCGCCGGCGTATCGTCGCGATAAAAAAAAAGCAGTTTGAAACAACGGGGAGCGCATATGTTTTTTCGAGAATGGTTACATAAATTTCTCGATAATCGTTAGCGGAAATAGAGGAGTTGTTATGAGAAAAACGTCCCCGAGGCGGAGGAAGAGTGTGCACGCGTGGGGAATTGCAGGAGCGTGGGTATCGATTGCCGGGAATCGCCGGTGCACTCGCTTTATCTTTCGGCTGGCAAACAGTTAACACAAGCGGGCGTAATTTTCGGCCGCTATTGTCGCGGACGGCGGTAAGGCCACCGGGGACCAAAGAGCTTTACAAGCACAGGTTTTGGTATATATGTTACCACGACCGCGCCAAATGAAGACCCTGCCTGCAAGAACCAGATAGCCTCGCCTTTGATCGAAGTGAATTATTTACATGGAAATGGAGACAATCTCCCGCTGCACAGGATAATGCAAGTGTTTATTAAGGCAAATTGTTAGTCGGCAGTCGCGGCAGTTTGATGGAGTTCGAAAGCTTGTTTACGCGCTAACCATAAATGGATTTAGCTCCATCTTCACATATTGGTCCTGATAGCGTGTGGGGGGATAAAATTGATCGTCCCTCTTCCTTTTCTCTCCCGCTGCCACCTCCCTCGAAACAGACTCGAGTGCGTCCCTTAAATTGTACCGATGACACATTTTTTTTACAGGGGCAAACGGCGCTTTCATAAACAATGGACAATTCAATTTTCGACGGGCTCCCCCCGCGGCTACCGGCCGAAACTTTCGTCGCCGTATCACTGCGCGACAAAAGGGGATTGATAATATTTCAGATTATATATCAAACAATTCGGTTTGATTAACCGAAGCCAAGCGTCACACTGTGAAGCTCTTTATTTAGTTATCGAAAACCGCCAACCAGCCGATAAAATTCGCGTTAAAAAAAACCCCCCCTTCCGCTTTTCGCCAAACCAAAGGGAAGCCCTTTTTGCCGGGCCTTTGCGCGAGCGAGAGTTTGTTAGTTTTTGCGGCGGCCCGACAAATCGAGACACCCCGGGGTTCGATCCATTTTTCATGCCACCCTACGGGACAAATAACAAACTTTGTTAACGATTACACCGCGTACATCGGTTCGGCCGTCCGTCCCTCCGAGCGAGTGACGGGAAGCGGCCGTGGACAAGAACGGACGTGGTGCCCGCGCTCGCGCGCGCGTGTGTGCGCGTGTGTGCGTGTGTGTGCGCGTGTGTCGCGTCGTTCCGGAAACGGACCGCTCAATTAGTATCCGACAAACGCCACCTCGTAAACAAAGCGCGTGGGTTTTAAAGGCGACACTTTGAAGGGTCCTCTCCCGCCCGGCGCGGCGTCACGCGGGGAGAAAGAAGTCGCGCGCGCGCTGGCAAAATGCGCCGACAATCGCAGGAATGTAGCGGCTATTGATCGCACCAACGGTCACGTGTGCTATATCTTTTCGATCGCCGAAGCCGGCACTTAATTCGACGGCGGATGGGCCTCTCTCCCTCCCTCTCCCTCTCACCCTCTCTCGCCCTCTCACCCTCCCAGCGGCTCTTCCCCCCCTGTTTCCGTCGCTGACAACGCGTTTCGCCGTCTCTTTCACCCGTCGTCCGTCGACACACGGGCGCGAGCGGGTCCGCCGACGTCTCCCGATGAAGAATAAAAAAAAAGAGAAGTATTCCGGATGAGACGACGCGATAACGGTAATAGCGGACTCGTCTCCCCGAGCGGTGGCAGTTACAGGGTTGTAATATTGATCGGGCACCGGGTCACCGTTCATGTCCAGAGTTGGATTCGCGCCATTTCGACGGTCAGACGAAAGGTCAGCACCATTTCCTACTATTTTCGCCATAAGCTAATCAATCTTCCGCTCCCCAACCCACCTATGCATTTTTGCAATGCCGTTTATTTGTCACGTATAATCGCGCAGCGCGGACATACATTTGCGCATTAATCGAAAGCCTCCCCGTGCGGAGGGAGAAGGAAGAACGAGAGGAAGAGACAGAAAGAGGGCGTTTGTGCATTTTTTAAATGATATAAATTGCAATGTACGAGATCCGCCGAATGATAATATAATATGGATTAACGTGATGTTTAGCTGATTGGACGGCGAATTGCATTATTACGTGTTCAGCCTGCGCCATGAAAGCTAACTAGGAAACATTTTAATCCGGAACTGTGTCTATGCGCAAATGGAAATGTCGCAGCAAATGAATTTGCATAGAAAGTTGGAGTTTTGCATATAAATAGTACCGAGCCAGACACAATGTGTGTCATTACTTTAGAATTGCGTTTTCGCACCACAGCACTGTAATCGTATTGTCCGGAAAAGCCATAAATATATAAAATATTGGGTAACCATCGCATTATGAAAGCGATATTCTGCATTTCGCCCATAACGCCATGAAATCATGATGTCATTAAACTGAGCGCCGCATTTAACGCGTTTGCCTGTTTTTAGCACAAAAATGTTCCGATAATATCGAGACATGCGACATAAATTTCTGTTTCTTCAAGATAGTAACTGCGATGAGTCACGGCAAATCGTGCGATTTTTCGTGCGTATTATTATACAAAATATGTAACTTCATATATCGGATTTATCGAAAATTGTAGGAAGATTTAAAGAATATAAATAATTGAACCTTTGTTCGTTTTTCTTTCTTACGCGATTGAGAAATTACTCATAACAAGAAGTTAAGAAAATGCGATATTGTAAAAGTCGCCTTTCTAACTTTTAGTCTTAGCACAACTAACTATTCCTTACGCTGAGAAAAATTACCATCGGACAAACCAATTAAACAGCATTTTCAATGGTTAATTTTTCCGATTAAATACATCCGATGAAATGCAGTTACCGATGCAACCTGATTGAACACCCAATCACATTTTTCATCCGATATATCCGTTTGTTATTATGTAATTGGATTAGCCAATTATATTTAAGCGGACACTTTTCTCAGTGCGCCTTTATGAAAAATGCCCACAAAATATATACTTTTCTGTATCTACAAATGTGTAAAAAATAATCCCAATGGCGAATAATTTGGACCGAGTGTAAACTGACGGTACGAGCGATCAGAGACGAAGAAAGAATAAAGAAACCGCTTGACCGCGGTGAAGTTGTTCTTCCAGAAAACTTGTCAATTTCGCGTGACGTATACCAGGGTCGAATATCGCGGAACTACAAAAGGATCCCCGGGATGAAATAGACGGGAGAGTGAAACGCGAGCGTGATGTCACGTAGCAGTCGACGCGTTAAATTGCGGAAACACCCCTTTTACGCGGGTCTCCCTCCATTTCCACTGTACCTTTCGGCGGGCAGACACAGACGTGCGTAATTTTCGGCGGCGATTGTGGCCAACGTTAGTACGGTCACCAGGAAGCAAAGAGCCTCGAGGGTCCACTCGAATCGGCAGGCACCCAGGGACTCCGCGTAGCCCGCCAGGATTACGATCACCGAGACCGGTATTACCAGGCCAGTCACCAGCAGGTCCGCCAGCGCCACGTTCACGAGGAATGCGTTTCCTGGAAAAAGAACCCGCGTGAAACTCATTAAAGTAATTAGCCTCTAACAGTTCTTGCGATCTGGAAACGCTCGAGAGAGCCGGGCGTTCCGCATTTTTTGCGTTCGGATTGCACCGCGGGCACACGATCGTGGCAGATGCGCCTCGTTCACGTATCGCGCGAAAATCTGAAAATTGCTCGAGACGATAACTAATTTAATACGCGAACCGCCCGTTTCCCAAGCGGAGCGGGCACGGTTCGGGAAAACTTGCCGGAATCAATACGCGCGGGCTTATGTATCCGCTTTCCCCATACGAGACCCATAATCCCTCGAAACTTTTCGCACAAGCGGTTCATTTGGACAGCCTTTATCTCGGCTAATTTCTCGTTAGATAAGCGGATTTATCGCGGCGCGACCATTTACGTTCATTTCACAAGGACTCAGCGGTACGCAGCGTGGTCGGAAAGTAGCGAGGACAATAGCTTCGAACGTCTGCGAAAGAAACGCGTTCGCGAGCGTCCGCAAGTTACAGGTTTACGAGTACTCCGTACACGGAAAGACCGGCTTAGGCAAAAATAACTCAAATTAAAACGTTGCCGTATAAATAGTAGGGGCATCCACATTGTTTCGCGTTGCAGCATTCACTAAATTTGCTGCACAAAACGCACATAGTAGTCTCCACTACTTATCATACCACTGTGGGTATGACAACCACAGATATAGCTGTCCCAAATATCACTATTTATTGGGGCTGTGCCAACCCTAATTAGACATGTGGTAATCGGTCTTTCCGTGTACACACAATATTAGCTGTAATTTCTTCACCTTTAACGATTATTCGAGGGACGGGATGCTGGAGTGATTCCGCACCTCTTGCACCTTTTGCTCCTAGAACTGTCTATTCGTGAAAACATTTGATTAACAAATTATGTGGCTTTCGCGAACAGACCGACACAGTGCACCACTAATCGGACTAAATCAGAGAACAGCGTGGTATCATTGAAGTTTAGAAACCCAACACAAAATCTATTCACTCGAGTGTGTCATGGGTTAGCAAATGTTTCCATGAATTGACAATTCTGGCTGCAAAAAGTGCGAAAGGTGCGGGGAGTCACCCCAGCATCCCACGTCTCTTGTTTCCCTCGCCATTTCTGTACCCATATTCTGTGTCGATACATAAGCGGGTCATTTTGTCGCGATTCAGCATCGTTACAATTTACCATCCATGGAAATGTAATCCAGTGGGTTAGACCTCGTCTTTTCCGATCGATCGCGCGCGCCTCGCTGGAGCGGGATTCCGGACAGTGATATAAATTCGCGGGATAACCGTGTTGGACACGTACCGATCTATCGCGCACGACGCCAGGATTTCGCCCTGTACTGCCAAGAGCGTCCAAGACGTCCCGCACTTTTCCCCTTCCGTTGGCAGAAGTGCCAGCCTTCGGCCGAGTATTCTTGTGCCAAGCTATTATATTACGCGGACTATCATCTTGAATTTTTTTGCAGCCCCGCGCTCGAGCTAGAGCAGCGCGGAGCCGCTTGATTTTCGCGGCCGGAGAGAAAATCTCGGGGAGACCAAGGGGGAGAGAGAGAGAGAGAGCCCGGCCAATCTCGAGCATTTAATCAACGCACGCCCACAGGGGCATAATATCGGAGGTCGTAGCTTCTGCTCGGGCAAATCGTAAAAGCCATAGTAATTGCAAAACGATGTCGGCCGAAACGAACAGTCACGCCGGCTGTAAAACTTTACTCAGACGGCGGCAACGACGACGATGATGACAACGGCGACGACGACGACGAGGACGGAGGCGACGGCGACGGCGGCGAAAATGCGAGGATGAGGCCGCGGTGCCGCCGCAGCTGTTATTGCGAGTCAACGATTATAGCGTTTCATAAGTTCATACGTAGAGCCCCGGCTAAGCGAAATACCAAATTGTAGAAAGTCACAGGAAAGAAAGGGGCGTAATATCCGCATTACCTCGCATTGCCCCCTCTCGCGACGCGATATATTCCCTCGATTCTCGGGGATTTCCCCGAGATCAATACCCGACGAAGACACGGAGAAAAGGAAATAATATCCGTACGTCGTCACGTCCTTAGGGGAGTATAACGCTATAATAAGATTGCGCGCTTCTGCGCGGGAGAGAGGCGAACGTGTGCCGCCGTTACGCCCGGTCGCACTGCGCGCTCTATGACTAATAAAATGCGTAATAAGACTTTTTTTTTACCAAGTGCGCGCGCCAGGTTCAACGATCCGACAACCTCACTGGGGAAGGGGCCCCGATGTTACTGATACTGCGAACGCGCCGGGAATGCACCGAGTTTTCATTAGTCAATCGCCGCGCGTCGCCCATGCATATGCATGCGCGCGTACGAGAAATAATTATTATAATTATACATCTCCTCGCGGCCGCACTTTACCGGCGCCCGTTGCCGTTGTCTGACTTCACTCGCCCTTGCGAGAGATAAATTTTCATTCACTATGGTTTCCTTATGTAAATAGATACCGCGCACAATGGGATAATGCCTCGCGCCGACGCGAAACGACGCGCCGGGTTATCAAGTATTCAAATTACGTTTTGAAGGAAAAAAAAAGGAAGAGCACGCGCATTGTTGCAAGTACCGAGCATCGCGACTCCCGCCGCGCGGCTTAATTGAGCGGCGAAAGCACTTTTAAGAAGTCATCAACACCTATAAATTACGGACAAAGCGGCAGTGCAGTCGCAGCCGGCACGTGTAATCGCAAGTTTTTCTCAACGTCTTATCGGCATCTCGCGCCGAGGCGCTCGGCATTTTTCGTTAAAGCGTACAGTATAATTGGATCGCATTATGCAACGTAGAGCCTGCTTTGCGATACAAAACTTTGATCAAACATTCATTTGAAATGCTCATCGCCTCTGCCGGCAGCTCCCCGATGCCAGGCTGAACATACGCGCGGCACAGCCGAAGAATTAGCGGATATACCAGAGCGGCGGCATTAAAAGTATCTGGAAATGTGCTCCGGCAGATAAAGTAAATTACATCGCTGAGGCGACATTTTTACCGGGGGCGACCTCGGACCCGTCGCTTATTCGGGAAAGCGCGAAACGTAGTGGCACCAACACGCCAGCGACTCCGTGCGGCCGCAAACGTGTTCGCGCCTTTGGCGAGGATATTACACTGCGATAAAAATGATTACGCGACAAATTGCACCGTCCGCGCTGCCTTTCGCCACCGCCTCCCGTCCCGGGGTTAATAGGATGAAATATGGCGGGCCCTCGGTGGGTAGGCGGAAACCCACGGGGGAGTGTCGGCGGAAGACCGGCGGAATCGAGAGATCTGCTCTCTTCAGGTATCGACGAATTAAGCCCTGCAGTAGTCGCGTTCGCGCCGCCCGCATTCGCCGATCGCATTTTCCGGAGGTACGTTTCGGCGTGACGAGATCTGATCGATTCAGCGGTTGATGCGTGGAATAAATTATCCCGCATCAGCGCTCGTGGCGTCACTTCGAAATTGATTCTCTCTATCTCCCTTCTCTATATCTCCATCTCTCATCCGGGTCCCCTGTCTAGCCGCAGTGCCGCAGCATCGTCATGGGAACGTGCACCCTTCCCCGCCCACCAGGGGTATTCTTCTACGTACCGAATGAATCCGCGCTGATCAGAATTTGTTTTAATCGATTTACCGAGTCAGCCCGCTGCTCGCGTTCTCCCTCTCTCTCTCTCTCCTCTCCTCCCTCTCTCCGTCTCTACTCGCCGAGCCTCGTTTCACGAACGCCGAACCGAACTATTCGCCAACCGCACCGCGGAGTACTCGAAGTATTCGCATTACCGGCGGGGATTCACCGCGTTCGGCCGCCGCCTCCGTGATCGGGGTTTCCAAGGGGAGCATCCAGACGAGACGAGATGGGACAAGAGCGAGGAGAATCGAGAGGCCGTAGGGGAAGGAGAAAGATATGGAGCGGCGCTCTCTCGTTGCGGCATTAGATACAGGGCGGGCAGAGTTATACGGCAACCGGGTCCGCTCGTGCGGCTACGCGCCGCGAAATTGACTCGCTCATCCGTGTACACCCTTATAGCGACCCCACGACTGCGCAATCCATTACGGCGCCATCGGGTTACCGGGCATCGCGGATCCGCTGCGGTGTTGGCTTTTTGTTTCTCCCGAGTTCTCGCTCTCGCCGCGCCGGCAGAGTTCACGCAAACGAAGCCCAAGTCCGTCCGACACTTCACGTCCGCAGTAGAAATGGGGTTTACGTCAGGCACGAACGGACATCCACGAGCACATTTCCCGACCCTTCCTCTCTCTCTCTCTCTCTCTCTCTCTCTCTCTCTCTCTCTCTCTCTCTCTCTCTCCGCCCGCCTTCCCGTACGTACGTCGCACGCCGGAGACGTTCCTCCTCGTCTCCGACGCGACGCGGGGAAAAAGGAGGAATCGCGTGTTAGGGCCGGATTTCCGGCTACAGACAGCCCGGTTGCCGTCGCGTCACGTTCGGACGTATTTATTGGAAAGGGACCGATCGTCAAGTTCGAAATTGCGCGCGCGATCGGCACATTAAAACTTCAATCTCGTTACCGGCTTTATTCCGTGTCCCCGCGGTGTCCCACCCTTATCAAGCTTTTGTATTATGTGTTTTCTTAACCAATAGTAATCTGCATAAACTGATATTGAGAGGAGAATTCGTCGTAGCGGACGTTTCTCTCGATGAAAATCCTTTTCGTACGAACATAGAAATCTCTTTAAGTTGCCAGTAATAGATAATCAAGCTTCTTAGTCGACATTAACCGGCCAGTGTTTTAATACAGAAAATTTATTGCGCCAAATATTACCCCAGTCAGGGTTTGAACCTGGACTTCCCTTCTCTCTAGGCGGGCGTCTCACCAATTCGACCACTGAGGTACCTTCAGACTACGATATTTTATTAAGTACCATCTGTATAAGAAATTATACAGATACATTATGGAAAGTACAAAACCAAAGAGTGAAGAGTGATGTGAATTAAATTGATTGTATTATGTTTCCATCAATATCCGTTTTCCTCGATAAAAGCAAACGAGACGTCAAAAATGTGAGGTACTCTCATAAAAAAAAGGAGCTAATGCAATATTATAGCTTACGTTCGTATCGCTAGGTTGTTCTTAAAATATCAAGGAATAAGAAATATATGGTTAGTTGTAAAAAAAAACAATAGCGTGCGGTATCAAAGACAATTCAGTTGGTTACAGGCTCGCGTTTAACGTTGAAACACGTTCCATTAAAGTACACGAGCACCTCCGTCGTCTCGCTGCGTATTACGGATTCATATATCCTCATTCGCGGTCGATATCAAGATTTTATACCCTATTTGAGGCGCACATATTGGACGTAGAAACGATCGCGGAACATCCACGAAGACCGTCTTCTACAGAACAGTTGCATTCGTCATGTCAAATTCGGACGCGTTCGAAATGACTATAAAATCACAAAATCCGAAGGTTAATCCTCGTTACCGCGATAATAATGACCCAAGTTTCTCGCTGTCATCGCGTCGAGCTGAAAACTTTATAGCTGGGAAAACGAGGAAAACGGAACGAGATTTTCTCGGTGAATGGCTCTCCGGACGAACGAAAGCCAGTATTATTTGCGTCACTATCGAGATTCATGCAGAATAAAATGGCGGTAAAAATGTTTCGGACCGTTTCAATAAGAATTACGAGGATGGCCAGCGTGTGACGGCACACAGTTATAAAACTGAGAAACTCGGCAAATTAAAGTGCTGAGAAGAAGAAGAAAAAGAAGGAGGGAGGGACGAGAGGAAAAAAAGAAGGAAAAGGAAAAAAGTCATTTAAAGAGAGAGAAAGAACGGTAAGGTAAAATTGATTTGCTGCTCTGGGACTGAATCTTCTCGGGAAGCTACATGTAATATATAAGTACATATGTACGCGTGATAAAAATCACTGTATAATGGAAAAATTACACAAATTTTAATAAGTATATAAATACAAAATAACACGCTGTAATAAAGATAAAAACTACGACCGACACAAGTATCTCGGAAAAGGGGGGAAATGTTGAAAGTGTCCTGTGAGTTTTATATTCCAAATTTGCGACGACAGAGAGGGAGAGGAAGAGAGAGAGGATTGTCATCTTTTTTGAAATTTCTCTTGAAAAGACCGACTCCCTTAAGTCTGTCAATATAGCGATGTATTACTAAAGATTTGTTGTAAGTCAAAGTTGCGGGATAATTCGTAAACAGATAATTTTCAGGCGTCCGCATTTCTCCGTGACAAATGAAACTTGTGGATTTAAATTGAATATAAAGATAAGAAGACAAAGGAGGAAGAGCGATATACTTAGCCGACAATGTAATTACGTTTCCATCCCCATTGCTTTGTATACCATTCTATCCACAGTGTCATTGTTATTACGCTCTATGCGGAGTGCTCGCGTGCAAATAATAATTATCTCGGGTCGGTCTGAGCACGAGCCAGCGCGGAGACAACGACGCACGATAGTGTCCAGGGATTATTTATTATCACACCGGCGTATCTACGAGGATGAGAGAGAGAGAGAGAGAGAAAGAGGTACGGTTTGCAAATAATACGAAAAATCGATCTCGTCATTGCCGCAGGTATAATGGCACGTTGAAGATCCCATCTTCCCTACAGATTGTGCCGACGACGTTCTTTACTGTTACGTCCTTCCCCGGCCGGATACAGACGGAGGACGCTTTTGTCCGTGGAGACGCAGAAAAAAGAAAAAGATAAGAGATCTTACCGTAGCGATATATACGAAAGAACGTTGTCGCGAGGCACGTCGGAAATGTACGACCCCCTGGATGGCTTTTAGTCGGATATACTTCTATAGAGTAAAAACTTTTGTCGTTGCATTTGTCGATGAGAGCATTCTCTTTCAGGTACCACTGTCTTCCACCCTCCCTCTGCCGCGTCCCATTCAATTCCCCCCTAATGTCGCCTTTACTATTTTAATTCCCCGCCTCAAATTTATATAGCGAGAACGATTCTCTCGCCACCTTTGCGGGCGGGTCCCGCGCTATCGCTTTTATTAGCAATCGTAAAGACAAAATCACGGGCGTACCTCGCTTGTTCAGCTGCTCCTCCACTACCACGGCGGATATCATGAAGACATTACCCACGCTGCCGCCGACGGCGAGAGAGGCCAGCAGCAAAAGTCGGGCCACTCTGGACCAGGCCGGTGACAAGGTCACTGGCGAAACGTCAAGATCATCGTCGCTAGTTACGTTGATCGCCTTGCTGAGTCTCTCAGGCTCGAGACCGATAATATTAGCCATGCTTGTCGCACCATTGTAGATCACCGTTATATTCATTCTGAAACTGAAAAAAAAACAAAGATAAATCGTTACTTATAGAATCCTTCACTTCAATCAAGTGATAACGAAGACGAGCTAACGTTCAATAACGATTGCAGAGAATCTGCGCCCGTTTTCAAACACAAATTACAATTGCAACGATTGGGCCCCTGTATCTTTAACCAGATACATTTTCTTCGGGAGTGCCTCGCGGATGATTAGCGGCAAAGGCAACAAAGTTTATCTTTGACGAGCAACACATCCCTTCCGTCTTTCACCAATTTTAAGGACGGTTCATGGTGGTCTGCAAGTCTGGAACACGGAGGAAACGAGGCTGAAGCTATTCGATATCACGCTATTACACGGAGAGAGGCCCTTTGAAGATTAGGGCCGACAAGACCATACCGACCACCCTAATTGTGAATTATCGATCGGACTACGGTGTGGGGATAGTCACCTGTTCCGACCGTGGCCCATGTTAGGTTTCCACAATATCCTCGTTGTCACTAACAACATCTGCGCAATATCATGGTAATTAGCAAATATAAGTGTCGTGGCACGCAGTCGGATAACAGCTGACGCTATGCGGGACGTTGAAAAAACGCCTTCCGGAATTTAAGGATGCATAAACTAGCCTTTTTCTTTGACAAGAAATTTCAACGCTGGCTTGCACGAGAAAAGCGCTTTTTGTTTTCCAAAGAATGCGTTTCGAAAAATATGAGGAAAGATATTAAATATCTTGTCCACTTGATAGCTCAAAGTTAAAGTGTTCATTTTTATACGAGTAGAAAATGCTATATAATTGTGCGACAGTGCATTCGATTAAAAGCTCAATTATATAAAAGATTATTACATTTTATTTCACATGCCTCTGATATTATTATTAAATTTTATACGAGTGAGAAAAGTCTACGATAAAAGTGTCACGCTGACTCGAAAGACGTCTTCAACTTCTTAATTCCCAAAATGGAAAACTTTTAAAGGCTTCTTATTTAATACTGCGCGCATCGCGCACAACGAAAATATTTAATAACTTGATTTACACGATTAACATTAATTGTACTATCAATCTGTCTACGAAGCTTATCTACTTTGCCATTCTGCACGTGAATGGAAATGTCTCGGCCGTGCCCATTGCGTTTCCAAAGTGGATCTTAAATTTTCATTAGCAAATGAAGCCTCGGGCGGCCATTTAAATGTTTAACACGGCCTATTCCGCCGGGCGGCGGACAGGAAGAAATTGATCGCGAAAATTGCGTTTAATAATAAAGCTGCATCATCACTCTTTCTTCCGTTCGACGAGCCATCGTTCCTTACTTACAGAAATATTTTCACTTGTTGCATTAGGGCTTGAAATGGCGAGCCCCTCGAGCCAATAATCTCATCAATCCCGTTACGTGACCTTTCACGCACATCGACGTCGAATCAATTTCCCCGCGGACGTCGCCGGTATCTTTTCCTAATTGAAAAACGACTTCTGCGAGTGAGCGAGACGCCATTCACGCCGTGGAAAAAGCGGTAACTGCAAATTCTCGCTTCCGTCTTCGCGTGAAAGAGGATCAGCCGGAATGATCGATGTTCGTTGTATACGAGATGTCCCAAAACTCGATCTCACTTCTAAGGATTTCTTTTGTCCTTTTCAAGATCAATTTCTCCGTGGATAAGACTCGGTCGCTGTTTCGTTCTCTTTTTTTTTCACCCGTTCGGTAACTCTTGTTTCCGACATTGTCAATTTTTTACGCAAAATACGTCTTGATATCCGCGCCCGTTGAAGATAAAAGCCAACTGGAGTTGTATAAAATTTTGTGCAATTTGCGAGACTCCGGCTTCATTCCCCGATTACTCGCAAAGTCGAGAGACAGAGAAATGAAAATATCCACGGCCGAAATAAATGTCGCGACGACTTTGAGACAGCCTGTACGAAGAACTTGTGCGTCTTACGGATTCGGGGGTACGACTCTTACGTCCGCTTTAAGCGGCTTTTAAATTGTAGATCTATTTCGAGAGGTGTCTCCGACTGTCTGACTACTCGACGAGACGTATAGATTACAATCTCATTGCGACACCTTGCGAAAGTGGATCTCATTCGCGATGCAAAAAGATGCAAACGGTCCCATCGGCGGAAGAGAGCATCTCACGTTTCACGAGTCTCCTCCAATCCCGTTCGAATGTATGCGTAAAAAACGAGTTACGCGCTCGCCCTCTCGAACCTAGAGCGCGTCTCGAAGGCGCAGCGATGGATGCGCTTACAACGGGATGTTGACGAAGAACCACCGGGGTCCATCGGCGTAGCAGGTCCTGAATGAGCTAGATTACAAGAAGATGTGATTGCATCTCCGCAACGTAGATGGAGGGGGGGGGGGAGAGAGAGGAGGGGGGGAAAAAAGGCGGAGGATTGGCTCAGAAATCTGGGATGTTAACGGGCATACGAATGCAATCTTTTGAATTATTCCGGCTGTACGGCGGAATCTACTCTCCCGCTTTACAATTGAAATCCCCGCGACAAATCTCCATACACGAGGAGCCACACAAAATTCGGCTATTCGGACGGATCGTCGCTTTATCTATTTTGGAGATGCGCGGCGGAGAGAGCCCGTCTAGTCCGAGCCCGGGCGGACCGACGCGACATTGTCCTCTCGTCACGTCTCGCGGTCGGAAATTTCATATTTCCATTCATACAGGCGGCGGAGGCGCGAGAGTCGTCTTACATATGATTCGACCCGTGAACGCAGACGGCAGGAAACCCGCGAGATCTATTGTTACACCAGCGGGAGAGTTTCGGGCTCCGCGCGCGCGGCGATATCGGATTTCGGTGGGATCGATGATAGCCGGGGATACAGTTAACCCCCGCGCCAAGTCTAGTCCGTGTCCGTTTCTCGTGCTCGTATCACGACGGACGGGGATAAAGCGCCGGTGTTTAATTGCGACGATAGCGCTCGCGCGCTTAATTGCCACCTCGCTACTTGGGCCCCGATCGACCGGCACCTCCGCGCGCTACGGAAGTCGCTAAAAATTTTACGGCGCCTGCGACCCTCTCGCGAGCAACAAAAAAAAACGTATGACGGGGGGCGTGCATTTCGACTTTTTTACGACTCATTAAGGCGGCCGAAATCGAAATTACGGCGCCGCGATATATACCATGTTTTATTGACGATAAAGCCGGCGAGGAGTAATTAGGTTCGTATCAAGTTTGCAAACTGCTTCATTTTAAGACTTTCGGAACTCCGCACCCGCGTACGCGCGCGAGTGCCATCGATGCTCGAGGAGTGGCGCCGTTAATTTGCATGAAAGTAATCCGCAAATGAATATTCACCCGGCATATCATTAAGACCGTGAAAGGGGACGCGGGCCAGCCAGAGTTAAGAGTTAATGTTCACGCGTCCGTAACGATCAAAACATGTTCATTCCGTATTTATATATGTAAACCGTCGAAACTCACAGGACAAAATAAACATGAGCCTTCCTGCCAATTTAACAAGCACACGATGTCGCCTTACTTACTGTCCCGGGGGCCGCCGAGATCTAAATAATTAATAAACCATCGCGAGCCCGCGCATCGTATCGAACGCGAAAGCGAATGGCAATTTTTAACGTTAAACGATCTGTGCAATTACGCGCCATTACCTTTATACGTCTTATCCACAGTTATGGATTGGATATATAACGCTATAACTCTTTTAATCCAACAGGGGGGGGGAGGGGTACGTTGTAAAATAGATTCCTGAGCCATCGCGCTCCGATCGGCCGCGTATAAACCGTCGATGGACGATTACAGGGCGGAAAATAAAATTTCTGCGGGAAACGTACGTGCCGGTGTGATAAAGGCGACAACAAATTTCGCGGATGGCGGAGTTACGCGATTACGTGACGCGTCGGCCGGGAAGGTTACGAGAAAGTTTCTGGAGTGTAAAGTGGGCTTAAGGCGGCCGGAGGATAAGAAGTCACCGAGGCGAGGCTTTATGAGGAAGAGAGGGTTACAGAAAGAGAGACGGCGTAGTCGTGAGAATGTACACGGCTAAGCAAAAAATTCCTCTAGAAAAGTGCTCGAAACGGCCCGGAAGTTTCATGGACGATACCCGACCCCTTAACATCCGGGTCACGTACACCGGCATCTTTTAATAAATAATGCATCGTCGATATTTGGTGCGAGATGCTGTAATTTCCCGCGACTACATTTTTGACATACTTTTGCGGGACATAGAGCGAACGGAATTAATAAAAACGTGAAAATCATGACGATTTGCGGTACAGCTTTTGCCTCCAACCGTTCCATCATTTCAAAGATATGTCGATATTTTTCGACGACAAGTATAATTAACCCTTTGAAGCATGGCGGTAACCCACCTCAACTTCTTTACTTTTTGGCCATTTAATTTCTAGTTGACGCATTTAGGTCGGGGATTTTGCATTTTTTTACCCCAAAAAACCCTTGTATACAAAGTTTCACAAAAAATGGTTCGATAGAAAAATGTATGCTTCGAAGGGTTGACACTCGCAAGAATTATTAATCGTTTTCTAATTATTTAAGCTACCCGCTGAATCGATACAATTCTTCACGTTTCATTCAAGCTGTCCGTTGAGTAAATGCAATCTTTAGAGGAAATTATATACTCCAAAATTTAATTGATTGCCCTTTTACATCTCACGTGTGGTGTGATCTCTTAATGTTAAAAATGAGTAATTTAAACTAAAATCCTTTATAAATTAAATTGCTACCTCCATATATATGATAATTACGTTACCCGAATTTCGAGATTATGGGAGCCGAGGAGAGAACAGCGAGGCCGCGTAACACGATCTTGAGCCGAAAGAAAGTTTTATTAGCTCCTTTTTCGCGCGCAAAAAACCTGAATCCCGAAAGCCACGCACCCACCACGCAGGTAGATCCCTCCGTAATCTCGAACCCCTTTATCTCCTTACCCGCCCTCCGCAGTATCGCCTTACCTAATGGATTTTAAATCGTGTGAAACACAACATCGCACCGATTACTATTTCTGTCCGGGACAGGAATGAATTTTTAGTTGG